CGTCTGCGTGTATTTTTATTTCGCCGTTTTTTTTTGTCGCTGCGATCCAGCCTGTTGATGCCGTCTGAGCGGCGTTAAGCTGCCGTACAGTCACGCAGCGTGAAGCTCCGGTAACGGACGATAGCGATGGGATCGACAGGGGACGGTCGGCCGCCAGCCGGCCGGACCGAGCTCCAGCAACGGACGATAGCGATGGGATCGGCGGGGGACGGTCGGCCGCCAGCCGGCCGGACCGAGCTCCGGTAACGGACGACAGCGATGGGGAGTTGCCATGCTGGGTGACGAAACCGCCCACCTGCTGCTCCGGCGTCGGCCGCCCGCCCCAGCAACGCCACGCCGGGGCCGTCCACAAATTACGCTGCGCATGGAGGGGGAGGGAGGCTGTGATAAGTGGAACGGAAGTGCCACGTGGCATGGAGGGAAGTCTTGGACATTGTGACGTTGCGCTCAGGTATGGTTGCCAATCGCGCTGAAATCTTTGAAGACAATTACAACTTTAAAGCGTGACGTGGGACGCGCCGTTGTTTGTTTCGTATCCCATTTAGGGGCCAAGCGAACTTTACCCTCTGGACGTCACGCTTAACGCAGCGTAACCAGTGCGTTATGAGGGGATAGGGAGGGTTGAAAATAGCCAGATACGCAACTCACTGCACGGACGGCTCATTGGCAAAGCGGCCGCGTTCGGCTCAGTTCGGCACGGCGGGGGGGGGGGGGGGTGTGTAGCGGTCCAGTCCCAGCCGGAGATTGGCTGGAGCAGAGTGTTGTCTCGAAGTCGAAGCCAGAGGTGGCGTGCCAGATGTACAGAAATATCTATGCTGCGTGGGTTAGACGTTCAAGCTGGCCGGTGCTCTCCTCGGATCTCCTCCCCGGCGATGGATCCTCCTCGGACGCCCGGCCAGCGTCCCCCTCACGGACCCTCCCCCGGCCCGCGACGGTACCCCCCCCCTCCCTATCACGGTCACGGTCTCGCTCCGGGGCGGCCGGCCGTGACCGCGCGGACGCCTGGAACGGGCTCCAGCAGCGTTCCGGTGGACCACTGCCAGCCACTATTTCGGCGCGCCGGGCGCGGCTGATGTTGGCGCGCCAGCGGACTCCACGGCCCGGGATCGTGATCACGGCGCCGCTCCTCCAAGGTCATTGACCAGGCTCGGCGCGCGGCCCCGACGGACAACCGGCGGCCGTGCCGCGTGAACTCCGCTCGCTGAAAAAAAAAATGTTGAGGGGGCGGGGAAGACAAGGCGCGCGCACGGATGCAGCGTCAACGAAAAGAGGACTGTTGACCGGCGACCAGTGCGAGTGCAGAAACATTATACTAACGCTACCTGTGATAAGCCTCTCCCCTCATCCTTGTCCCAAATACATGGCCTTCTCTTCTCGTGTTGGCACGAATGGCCTCGTCTTGTTTTTGCCGTCGGTGTTCCGCTGCTGTTGCCCTGCGCTAGACAGCCGCGGCAGTTAGTGGCATGACGTCATGACAGCGGCTCCCCGACCTGCCCTGCACCTGACCCGCTGACCCGCGCCTGACCCGCTGACTCCTGTGCCCGGCAGCACGGCCTGGAGAGCCGTGCCAACGAGTCGTGCCGGCGCAGGTGCGTAACCTGGCCGACGGCGCGCCCAGCGTCAGCATGGCAAGATAGTGGCCGCTATCGGCCAGCTGTACCTGAAGCAGGCCGGCCGCCAGGCCAGCCGCGGCTTCCAGATGGTCAACCCCACCGAACGAGTGGTTCCCAGGTCAAGTCAGGTCAGCCCCACCGACGAGTGGTTACCACAGGTCAGTCAGGTCAGCCCCACAGACCGAGTGGCTCCCAGGTCAGTCAGGTCAGCCCCATCGACGAGTGGTTCCCAGGTCGGTTAGGTCAGCCCCACCGGCGAGTGGTTCCCGGGTCAGTCAGGTCAGCCCCACCGACGAGTGGTTCCCGGTTCAGTCAGGTCAGCACCCCACCGGCGAGTGGTTCCCAGGTCAGTCAGGTCAGCCCCACCGACGAGTGGTTCCCAGGTCGTCAGGTCAGCCCCCACCGACGAGTGGTTCCCAGGTCAGTCAGGTCAGCCCCACCGACGAGTGGGTCCCAGGTCGGTTAGGTCAGCCCCACCGACGATGGTTCTCAGATTCATCTCGTTTCTTGCGACCGGTGACTGTTGCCAAGCGGCTGGCCACGCGCCAGGTCGCTGCCTGCTAACGCACCCGGTGGACGGGGCAACTGGCGTCCATTGCCGCCCGCGTCCCCCGGTCCTGATTCCTTGACTGCCATGACGTGCGCTGCCAGGCCTGACCGAGCTGGAGCGGGGCCTGGCCGCACCGGCCTGGTGTACGGCAAGACGCCGCAGAGTAGTTCTGGCACACGTTCCGCCTGCCCGCCTGCTCGGACGTCGAGGTGCGGGTGGAGGTCAAGGGTGGCCTGGTCACCGCCGTCGAGCCGAGCCGCCCCGACAACAGCGCCGTGAGTGATACGCCCGCCGGTCGGGCCCACGGGGTGGACCGTCGGCGCATGGGGCGCGGGTTGCCGTGCTTGGTAGGAGAGAGCGTGCGCTCGCATGAAGCGTCGTGAAGGGGGTCGTCTTTGTACCTGCTCAAAGGGTGTGTGCGGTGGAAGTGAGCGATGCAGGACTGCAGTCGCGGGCCCTGGTTTCGGACATGCTGAACCTGATGCTGCAGAATTGTGTGCCAATGTTTTTTAGCCTGAGCGGTTGATGTGGTTTGAGAAACCAACAACATGATCACTCGGGGCTTGAACACGAAATTCAGTTTTTATGTGGCTGTCGGTACGCCGCCAGAGTGGCATTCTGGGCTGGGCGTTTATGGTGGCGGCGTGGAAAAAGCGTCAACCACCGAGCGCAATTCGACTGCCTTTCGAATCCTTTGGGTTTCAATGATAACTCCTAGTTGTTTAGAACGTTCCAGTATTTCCCCAGCAAACACCCAGACGACCAGTCACAATCGCTGGAGGCCATATTGTGGCGGTGCATACCCCCGGAGCGACCCGAGCCCACCCCGAGGTCGCGCGCCGCGACGGCGTTTCGCCCCAGCGCCGGAAGCTAGACTCTGCCCCCGTCCTCGATATCCCCGCTTGTGCCTCGCCTCTGCGCCGCGTGGGCCCCGGCCACCTGTGCTTCTGTGGTGCGTCTGTCGACTGTGACATGGGCAGCGTTGCTTCCATGCCGCGTGAAGCGGAGCGCTGATGACTGCGTCCCGGGCCGCAGGACATGACACGGTGGCACCGTGAGTGTGGGTGCGCTCCAATCCTGCCGTCGGAACCTTCCCGGAGATCTAGTGTCGTCGCTGGCGGCTCCAATGATTTCCTTTTCCTCCGACTATCCCGCGTCAGGTCGAAGGGCCGTGCTGCTCGGCAAGGCGGGGGGGGCCGGCTCAGCGACCGCCGCCTTGCATGGCCATGTGAAACGCAGATGCCAGCGACACTCTATCCGGCGGATCGCGGCAACTGATGACGGCAACGTCTACCGGGCGGATCAGCGGCATGTGACGACGACAAAAAACAACGGAGGTGTCTATCGGGTGAACTGTGAAGGCGACAAAGGCGGACAATCGATGTGAGCACTATAATAGCCACGCACAACTTGGTTATGAGGACAGTCCTTTATTGACTTCAGAAGATATAACGAATTTGTATCGTTTTCTTCAGCATAGTGATCTTTCGTATGCCCACTTGTTCTGGGCAGCTTCCTTTATACGAAGCTCACTCGTGCACCTGTTGGCTAGCGCTTTTCATTTGGGAGCCGTAACAAATTACTTGCCGCGGAGACCGTTTACGCGTCCAGGTATATCTAGAAGCTCGCAATCGTTTTCTGCTGCAACATGCAAGATGAATTGCTCTATTCTTTCTCCAAGTGCCACTGCTTTTGAGCAGTGATTGCAGTTTCCAAATAGTGTGTTGTGGGGAAAACTGTGAAGCGATGCGCCGGAATGAACTTTTTCACGGAATGCGGCGCGTCCGTCGGGCCATGAAACAATGGATGGTGATCTGTGCTGTGCTACTTTACGACGTTTCTAAGACGGACTTCGGTCGTGGATGCTGTTTGGCTGTAGCTTAGGGACCTGACTGGCATGCCTTGTCATCTATCAATGCAACTCTGGTGTTGGGGTGTGTGTGTGTGCGTCATGTGAGTCTAGCCGAATAACAAATCGCCCCGTCGCGGGACCGTGACTAGCGCTCGGTGGATAACCGTCGGATTAAGTACCGTAATAGCAATAAGGCACCACCGCATAAGATAATCATTAATAAGGCAGCCACTGCGTGGACGCCTATTTAGCAGTGTTTTCTGCAGGGGTGGGTCAATACGTGTCGGCCGGGCGTCTGCGTGAGGTCTGAAGAGCGTCCGTACACAGCTGGACACAACCGGACGCTGGGACGGCTGTTTTGAAAACCGCCGCCTAGACAGTAGGTTCGAACGGTCCGGGGCATCACGGGGACCGCAGGGTGATTGTAATAAATTACTACAAACGTCGTGCCTTCGTTACTTGCCACCCGTATCGATTAGCGCTTACCAAACAGATCAAAAATAATTCCCGAATGCGCGTGTATTCTCTACGTGACCTAGCACACTCAACGCAGAATAACAAACACCAGCAATTCCTGCTAACAATGCATACGAGTATGACCGGTCGTTTTTACCAGCAGCTTGTACGAAGTTACTTTCAACAAGAGGCTTCCAGAGATACAGGACCCCCTCCCTCTCCAGGCTTGGTGAGTACCGACCGCTGTCGCCTGCGAGCCCAAGCGCGTTCCCGATTACATTCGCACGCTATTTACAAAATAGTTCTGGTTTCGCCGCAAACAGCCCGCCGCGCCAGTGGTCCGCCGGACCCTGGGGAGAGGTGAGCCTCGGGCAGGCCGCTGGACGGCACGGCGGCCCGGTCGGTGGTCGGCCTCGGAGTGGACTAGTCACTCACTTACTCGCTCTCGCGCCTGTCGCTGCTGCTACCGCCGGCCGGCCGGCCGCGGGCGCAGTGAACCCGTCGGACCCTGGGGGAGAGGTGAGCCTCGGGCGGCCGCTGACGGCCCGGTCGCCTCGGAGTCGACCCGTCATTCACACTCGCTCTCGCGCCGTCGCTGCTACCGCCGGCCGACCGCGGCGCTACGCGGAGCCTCCCATCTGAAACGAGCCCTCGGGTGACGATGACCGGCCCAGCAGCGGGTCAACAGGTCGTCATCACGCACGCGTCACCCGGACGGCGGTGGCGTGGTGGTGGAGTCCGACATCTCCAGAGCGGAGGCTCCGGGGATTCTCATATGCGGCAGATTTGGCTGGACGGAGCGGATAATGCGAACTATCGGATGTGACGCTTAGCAGACGTGCGGAACCGCAGAGGAGACGGGTAGGCGCGTCGGCACGCAGACAGCACGAATCAGCCGCCCAAATGTCCCATCACAAAACAGACACATTTCGCACAATGTGTGGAGAATAGCTGGAATACCGGCCCAACCGTTTGTTTTTCTCCGATTTGATGACAGTGAAACTCACGAACGCGAAACGTCACAATCATCACGCGGTAACCACCACGGTTGGCGCCCTTAAATCCAATAACTAACTACAGAATGCCAACAGCCGTATCTGACCCAACACCCAACGCTGCTTCGTCAGGAAAAACGGAAGGCATCACGTAACGCAGGCGCCACTTCCTTACATTGATAGCCTCCATCTCCTTTTCGTCCATCGGAAGGCGGCGGTAGCGGGCTGGGACCTGCCACTCCTCCAGCACGGGGCCGGCGTGCACCACGCTCCACTTCCTGCTGCCGCCGCTAGGGGCGCTAGGGGCGCTGGGTGGCGCCGCCACCTGAACAGACGAGATGGTACTTGGGCGCTCTGAAGACACTGGAAAGCAAACCCCAGAAGCTGATCCACCGGCCTGAATATACTTCAACATGTACCCAGAAAAGGATGATTATAAAACTGACTGGTCTCACTTCTGTCTCAATCTCAGGGAGCAGATACCTGCAGGGAGGGGGAGGGGAAAGCTGATCTGAAAATTTGGCAATGGGTCTATGGGCGCTGACTGGGGCTGAATAACTTCAGACAGCTGTCAGCTCACCAAGCAGGAAAAATTCTCTTGCTCCTACTCAATACTCAAAAATAGGTGCATCAGCTTGGCACATTCAGTAGTTCCAAACAACACAGCATTACAAGCCCAGTAGCTAATATGGAACAAGACCTCCTCCATTTCTTCTAGTGATGAGATCCACTGCATCTTGGGATTCCAATCCTCTTTGTGTTGGGCAGATTCACATTCAAAATTGCAATTAAGTTAGAATCTTTGCTTTTAAATCTTGAAACTTACACATGTACCTCCCAATTTTCAACAAACTTCCTTGGTTTGTGACAGAGCATTAACTGGGGGTATAGTTGCCTACCCACCTTTGTAGCAGAGGGGCACAAAACCCCAACTGAGGAGACAGTGTGTTAAGTCCTTGGAAAAACCCATTTGTAGATTGGTTATGTCATTTTCTGCTCAGTCCCCCTTATTTTGCTCAGCTGTGAAACCTTAATTTTGTCCTACTATTCAATAAAGCTGTGATCACTTCCACAAACTTACAAATCAGGCTAAGCTACTAACTTTTATCCCCTCCACTTCAAGCAGGGTGGAGCATCATTTCAGGAGAGCCCATAACAATTGGGGAAGGCCCTGTCATGTGAATGGCCTCCTGGATTTCTGCTTGCCATCCACCCTTTCTGAAACCCTGGGGCACGTGTGGCACTGCAGAGTATCATTCAGGGGGATCCCATTAACATTGGGGAGGCCTGCCATGGTGAAGGCCTCCTTGGATTTATGCTTGTCATCCCCCTTCGAAACCCTATGGCACTGGGTTTGTACTACTCAAGGCAACGTATGACAGCTGTTATGTTTTTCACTCAAAACCAAACAAACAAACATGGTGGGGGCAGTGTAAGAACAGCACCCATGGCAGTAAGGTCTGGGAAAAAACCTAATACAATATAAAACATGCAAGACAGTGATGCTGTCTCATGCAGCACCATCATACATGCTTACAAATAGTCTATCTAAAGAACAAATTCAACCCAATGCACATTTCAGTGCATTCAGTTCCATATTCAAATGATGCCATCTGGGATGCATCAACCATTTTAAAATCAAAATATGAACCTTCAGTTGTTTTGCAAATAGGCTCCATGATGGACAGAATGATCATAAATATCTGGAAAATGCACAAAACACATGTGGTGTGCAACACAAACTTCCCTATATCCACTTACCTGCCATGGGTCCATTTCTGAATCTGATGAGGGGTCTATGTGGGTGCACTGTCTGGAACAAGATTATAAATCAAATTATATTTTCTTATTCCAGAGTTTGATCCTTTCAAGTCTCAGGATACACAACACCTAGCAGAAGAGTGCAATGGAGGACAGTAGCAGAAGAGGGTAGGAACAGGCCACATTGCAAAACATCTCTTGTGCCATGTGGGTGGAGCAACATTTAGGGACTGAGAATTCAAAGATGCATTTGATTTAGGGCAGCAATACATGTTAAAATACACTAATACCTGTAATAAAAGATCAGCTATAAAACTCCTATGGGCCAAGGTAAGCAATGCAGCCCAAAGTGTTGTCCTAGTCTGTAAATGCATTATTCTTTCTGGCCATCCATACTGGTTTGAAACACTGATTCAAGTGAACACCACTGTAATATATGAATACATGCTCAAACTAAGGAGAAATGCCAGTTTTTTCACCATAGGTTGCAATATATTCATGAAGCATTACACTTTCTGTCAAGTATGTGGCTGATATGTGTCCACGGGCTGGAAGCATTGCTACTTTTCTGAACAAACACAGACTGACAAGAAATGGACAGATGTCTGAATCATGTAGCAATTATGACCCTTAATCACAATGTTCTACAATGCACCAACCTGCCACGAACGCAGCGCCATCATCGTACTGATCTGTTTGCACTGAAGGTACATAGACATTTCGTAGTTTTGAAGAGAAAGTGATTCAGCAAAGCTCCTGCAAACACCCAATGTAAAAAAGCAGAGGAGCAGCCCGTCAAAAGAAATACAAAACAGCTACAGCTTTTGATGCAGTTGGAGACTGCTAATGTACCTGTAACTTTATAAACCAGTAAGCTTATAACCCATCATGCCAGCTGATGACAACTGGTGCAGCCTCCAGCGGACAAGGCCCACAGCAACATTCGTCTAGTTGGCACCACATTCGCATTCAGATTCAGGTCTATATTCGGGATTCAACGGATTCCTCAAATTGGCCTGAAACTTTGTGTACAGATGCAGTTTAATCTCCTGAGCATATTGAGCACACAATCTCGGACCAGTACGCTCTATTAAGGGACCTATATTAATACGAAAGGTCACAATAAAAAGGCAGGTTATTTCTGAACTTCGTGTGCCGGTAGATGTTGACCTCTTGGTAACGATTAACACAAAATCTTGAACAGGTACGCCGCATCAAAAAGTTATGGCTATTCTAATGTCCAGGTCGTGAACCAGCACGTATTGCATTTATCATCCTTGACCATTGACCTATACAAGTCTAGACAGCCTGCTTCCATTGCCGCCGCGACCGGCCAGTTGTTCCCGTCTTGCGACACTAGCGCCACCACGCAGAGGGGCGAAAGTTGGCTTCGCGATGACAATCCTATGGCGGATGGCCGACCTTCGGAGGCGTGTGATTAGGAAATGATGGGAGCGAGGGCCTTGGAAATTATGAGGCTGTCAAAGACATCAATTTTACGCAATACGGCACAGCAAAGTTTGCTCTGAAGGCCTGGGTAGCGGCTGAACAGACTCATCCACGCACATTGATTTTGCGGTTTTGCGTCGTAGCAGAAGTGGGGGAGGTGGGTGGAGTCGGGGTAATATCTGGTCTCAGAAGAAAGCAGACGGCCTCTGTTAGACAGAAAAGACGCCATAACGATAACGCTGGAAACAGTTGTTCTTAACCCTCATCCGGATGTGGTCCTTTGCAACACTCCAGCGAGCAGAGGAGCCGGGTCTTTTATAGGTCAATGTCTTTGACCCAGTTTCATGCCCGATAATCAGCGGACCCTTCGGGTTGGCCTGAAATTTTATCTATAAATGCAGTTTAATCTCCTGAGCATGATGAGTATAAAGTATCCGACCGGTACGCCCACTTACCGGAGATGTACTTTATGTTGTCTTAAATGAATTATAAAATCTCTTGGAAGGTGGAGGATTGAGAAGGGTTTATCCGCACCCGTTCTCCTTACTAAGAGGAAAGGGGTGCTCAGCGCCGATTTATACTCAAATCGGCGGAGTTCAGCACGCAAAGATGTAAAACAACGCGCTCCGGCAACCCGAGGCTCGACAGATGAAGTGAGGTTGTTTAGAGGTAAGCGTCGTGAATTTCTTTTCGCTCGATGAGCCTAGAAAACCTTCATCATTTTGGGATCCCAATGCCCATTTCAATGCGACTTGCTTCCTAGGGCGTGGCAAGGTCCGTCGGTTAGTGGTCAATGGGTAGCGTGCAAAACATTTTGAAACGCGTGCAAGATGACGTGGTTATGGGGTTTTGGTTGACGCCAGCCAGCCGTTCTCGAGGCGAGTGCTGCGCCGGGTGGCGGTTGGATGGCTGGGTTGTTTGTGGATTTTTTGTGTCTTGGTACTGTCCGTAGGAAAAGTTTTGGCGGACTGTTTGACATACATAATGTAGCAATCGCCAGTTTTTGTGGCAGATTATTGATATCTAAGCAGGATATGCTGTAAAAGCTGTCATATAGTGTCATATGGGTCTCTTACCGTAACGGCGTGAGCTGCCAAGGACTGTCGAGGATGTCGGTGCTGTATTTTCGACCTATCTTTGCCTGCAGTGCTTTAGTCCTGGCATTGTTTTCTTGTGGTGTGCACAATAGTTGCTTTATTATTTGTAGCTGGAAATGGGATCACATCCAAAAACTAGCAATAATTTGTAACATTCCCATGCATTGGCTGCCCAAGCATTGTTATTGCTTTGATAAAGATGAGAACATTGAGCCATCAAGAATGTTTTTCTTGCTAAGGATTAGTTATAAAATCACTAGTTAACTCCGACATAACCACTGTGATGCAAGCACATTCTTGCTGATAATGTTCCTTTGGCAGTGTTCAATAAGTTGTTAGCGGTCTCTCGTAATTTATGAACCGTTACTCAAGGGCTTGACATATACTAGTCAACCAAGGTGGCACGTTATGTAATGGCACTGGTCAATGCAAACAGCATGGTTATGGCACTACCTCAGTGCTTTACTGTAGCATGACATAATAACCAATGATATAGTTTGTGCACTGCAATCTCTGCTGCTTTCATAATAAATTCCGTCGTGAGAAGATGGGTCTAGCGTAAATTATTGCATCAACTTTGCATACGGCATGTGACTGGCCAAAAAGACATGAGGCAATGCACAAATCACTCTCAGCAAGGCACACAACAAGTAAGTGACATCACTTGCTCAGCCCGTTTTGCACTTTTAGACAAAACGAAGGTGACGAAGACACAAGCACGCATTTGGCAAATTCCACACACGATAATGAGAACTAGCTTTGCGCTTGCCCACAAATATCACGTGGCATTTCACCGGGAGCTTCCGGTCCTCTGGAAAGCAAAGTGGGGGCCCGAGGGCAGCCGCCGGTAACGCCGCGCGGCCGCCCCCCGTCCGCGCCTGGCGCTCACCGGGTGCTCCAGCACGCGCCTCTTGAAACAGAAGTAGGTGCCGACGAATGTGAGCGGCACGGACACGTCAAACCAGAGCCCGATCAGCGCCAGCGTGGTGAGGACGGGCAGCGCCGCCGATGAGCCGTGCGTCCACAGCACCAAGTTCAGCAGCAGCATGGTGCTGAACACAATGCTGCGGGCGGGAGGCGGGCGGGGGCTCAGCGGGAGCACTGCCGACACACTCCACAGCAGTCTGACTGCACCCAAGATAGACACGGCATCTAGCGGAACAGACGTCCCAGCCGACCCTGACAACAGTGATTTCTTTTCTCTGGGCACAGGCCTTGCCAATGACCAATGGCAATTACGTTGGCTGCATTCACCGACTCCACTGCGATTGGGAGCAGGACTCAACGACACAGCCTCCCGCACACACCGCATCATCAGCCAATTCAAATGTGGCGATTTTCCCAGCTTGGTGCATTTCACGGTCGGGAGTGCTTCCATCACGTTCTAAATCTACAGCGACACCGAAATAGCGCAAATAGGATGCACGCATGAGCGATGCAAATTCTGTGCCAGCGCGGCGGGTGGGCGCGGGTCGAAGCCGACTCGTCAGCGCCGGTGTCCTCTGTCCGGAGAGAGCGGCGGCCCGACGCCGGCAGCTAGGCACGGCTCGCCCCAAGCACAGCGCGGACGTCAGCAGCACGTTGAGTCCCCACTTCTCGCCAACAAGCGGCTTGTGGATTCAAGCGGTCACGTAACCGGTGGGCGTACCCAGGCAGACGCACAGCACGAGCCCACAGGTCATCAGTGAGCCGCAGTTGACCGGTGTCAGCAGGGCCAGGCACGCGAACACTGCAGCGGCCGGTCAGAGGTCAACACAAGACGCTGATATGGACGGTCGGAGGTCAGCATCGACATTGGTGCAGGCAGTCAGAAGTTAGCCCCGGTGCTGGTACAGAAGGTCAGCGACGCAGCACAGGCAGGACAAAAGCAGTTAATTGAGTGAATTATGCAGGAGATGTAAATTTCTTTAACGATTTTTTTAGTATACGATGAACGGTTTGTGCCCACGTCATTGCATGATGCAACTGCCTTCTCGAAAATCAAAGCGGCCTTAACAGCAACATTAAAACACACAGCCGCCCTGCTCAAACCGCTACAGGGACCACTAAATCAAAACAATCCTCTTCAAACGACGGGTGCCGTACAGTCCCGCTAACAGTGCCACACATTGAAAGAGCGCCAGGCGTGAGGACAGTGTTGCTGCGATGTCAACCATGGCACGGACAACCATCACCGCTGGGCCGGCCCAAACACGGCTCAGACGCGAGGGCCACCAAAGCGGCCGCCAGTCACCCACCGAGTGTGATGAGCATCCTGGAGAGCACCTGGGCACAGGAGCCGGTCAGCACGGAGAGCAGCGTGCCGTGCCCAGGCGGTCGGAACATGTCGCGATGCGTCAGCTTCCAGCCAAACTACTGAGAGTCGTCGCCTGACGTCATCTGACGGGCAGCCCGCCGACCGTCACTCCCAGCTCCGACCGGGGACGGCTGTCACTGCCAGCCCCGGTCACGGACGGCCGTCACTGCCAGCCCCGGCCGGGAACGGCTGTCACTCCCAGCCCCGGCCGGGGACGGCTGTCACTCCCCAGCCCCGGTCATGGACGGCCGTCACTGCCAGCCCCGGCCGGGAACGGCTGCTGTCACTCCCAGCCTCGGCTGGGGATGGCTGTCACTCCCCAGCCCCGGTCATGTATGGCTATCACTCCCCAGCCCCGGCCTCCACGCGTTGCCATGTCCCGTATGCAATATCGTGTCGCTTTCCTTATCTGGCATGCGCCAAGTGTATTCAGTTGATGGCCCCAATACTCAATGCTGCTACTGACGTCACCTTGAACAGGCCGACATCTCCATGTGATGTTTGGGCGCACCACCAGCCGTGATTTTGACGTGGCGCAGCCATGGTCTCATGATCTCGGTTTTTAGCCCTCGCTGCATGTTTGCGCAGGCGCTTCGCGTCGTTCTTTGCAGCGTGCGAAACGTCATACGAATGCTGTGCTTCTGGTAGAAGTTGCCCTAAAATGATGAAAGTAATTATGTAGGGGGCGTCACCTGCAGGTGTGGCACCGCCGCAGGCGGCGCCACCACCTACGACTTCGATTATCATGCCAACGACCCGGCACGTGACAGCTATTTCAGTGTGAGGGACAGTGCTTGAATTTATGGGAGTGGAACAAAAAGTATTTTGGTGATAATCGTGTACCCGGGATACTAACTGCCCAGTTAACTTGGGATAGCGTGATGAAGAAAATGGTCATTCAGCATTTTGTAAAACACACATGACTGATAGAGAAACCAGGAAACGCATGAGGCAACACAGGGGGCCCAAGCACAGCACACAGGGGCATGCTACGAAGCAAGTCTGACTGACAGCATTTTAACACAGTCGTCGCTGTCGTGGTTGACTTGCTGACAACCTGGTGTTTGTGTCTGACGTGAAACA